ACTATCAATATTTATCAAATGAATCATTCATTATTACATAAGATATATTTTGTTTTATTTAAGGAGATATTTTTTCCAATATTCTGATACTATTAAAACAGAATTTAAGTAATTTTAATCAGTAAATTTAATATATAATAAATAATAATTTCTTATTACAATTTTCCTTGTTTGGAATTTTTATGATCTCACACATATTGATTTTTTTTTGTATTTCCTTTATATTTCTTCAAATAGTTTGTCAATGGTTATTATAGAGTGTAAAATGAAAATTTATACCATAAAGTAATAATTTATGTATAGCTGATATGCTTTACCATTTATATATATTTAAATATTTATATATATTTTATATATATTTAAATATATTGTTTTATATATTTTTTTCTAACAGTTTTTTAAATCTTATTTTATTAATTTTTTTGGCATATTTTTTGATATTTGCTTATTATTTGTTATATTTGTACTTTTATTCGAAATTATTAAAAAATCTCATTTCTGTCGTTTGTAGCTATCTAGATTTATATCTAGATTTATAACAACTAATAATCATATTCACTTTAAATTAATTTAAAATTTTTTTTATTATATTATATTTATAAAAAGTTTTTTATTCTGATCTTTTCTCAGTTGTTTTGAAAGGTATTCTGTAGAAAATATTGATATTAAAAGTTGATATTAATAGTTTTAAATTTAAGCTCAATTTTCTTAACTAAAACTTCAGAGAAAATCCTTTACAATACGATATTTGTACACAATTTTTGATATTTATGCACTTCTCAATATATCTCAAAATTAAATTCTTTGTTTGATTTACTTTTAACGAAATTAATCTTCTTCTCATCATAAAATTCTACAAAGATCTTTTAATAATCTTTTTTCCCTCTAAATATTTCATTATTTAGTTTGAAGCACAATTCCAACCTGAAATTCATTAATACAATTATGAAATTGTTTAGCATAATTTTACTTATAAATAATTTTCATCTATGAATCTACTTCATAATGAAATTTATATGTTATTTTATCTTCAGTATATTTTTTTTATTGCACTTTCATAAATAATTTTATTAATCTAATCCGATGAATCAACTAAGTTTAAACTATCTTTAATGAATCGTGAATGCAACTTTATTTGATTTAAAATTTTTCCAGGTATAAATGATGAAATGATTCTGATCCTGAAATAAAAATGATAAAGTACAATTTTATTAATTATTCAGAAAAAGAAATTATTACATGTAGAGTTTTTCATTTTTTTCTTAATTAAATAAAACTTAAATAATAAATTTAAAATAAAACTTTAGAATGCAAAATAGAGCAAAATTTTTCAAATAAAAAATGTTTAATTTTTAGTATTCCATTACATTGTTGTAAAAAAATTGACAAGTAAAATTGCATACAAAAATTGAAAGAAAGTTAAAATTTTAGAGATAAATTTCACTCTCTCAAAGAGAGTTCTTAAAAAAGATTGTTCCTGTTTATTTCATTTATTTTTTTTTTTATTTATTCTGAAAAATATGAATTATGCATTCGAAAAAAATGAATCCATGAAGAAAACTATAATTCACGTAAACAAAAATTATCAATTTTATTGTAATGTTGCAAATAGAATAATGTTGTATGTGTAGCTTTTGTTAATGTATTAAAAAATTTATTATCTATTACTATTAATTTAAATATAATATGTCTAATAGATCATTATTCAATATATTATTAATTGAAAACCTTGGTAGTATTATTTTGATGGTAAAAAGAGAATAATCTGAATAGTCTAGTCAGAATAGTCGAATTTTTTAATTCTTTAAATATTTATTTATTTATTGCATGTCTATTATACTACTATCAATTATAAACATTATTTCAATTTCTATCATATCTTACTATTTGAAACTAATTATATGATATATATATATATATAATAATATTATATATATATATATATGATAAACTATATATTATTAAAATACAATATAAATAAATTTAATATAATTATATTTCTATATAATTACTTAATAAAAAATTTTTTGGCTAACAACAAATGTAATGACAATATTTCATTTCTATTCAATGATAGTTATATATACTTAAAATATCAGAATTCTAGAAGAACTTTAAGTATTTATTTGTTAAAAGATATAAGATTATAGATTAAAGATTAAAGATTACAAAAGATTACATTTAAAATTTTTATATACTTGTTTTATAATTGCAAAAATTTTTATTTAAAAAAATCTCGATGTCTAATACTTTTATAAGAACTACTTAAAAATGGTCGTCAATTTCGAAATGTTAATGAAGCATGAATGGAAAAATTTCGATAAAAAAAAACATTCAAAAATTATAAACAATTAATTGAAATCATAACAAATAAAAGAAATTTCATAAAATAATAAGCATTTAAAAAATCGATAGAAATTATAATTTTGAATTTTTCTGCTCTGTCAGAAGAAAAAAAAATTTTTTTTTAATATAATTACATTTTCATGGATGTGTTATATCATTTATGTATAAAAAAAGTATAATTTTTTTATATCAATATTACAAAATACGGAAAAATAGATGTGCCTATATATATAATTTAAAAAAAAATTGTACCATTGCTTTCAAAAATTTACAACTATTTTAATTTTCCAAATTTCAAAGTAATTTAAATTTCTAGCAATTGCTAAGCAGTAAGATCAAGATATAATATTATTACTAATTCTTTTCTTCTCTTCAAACTCCTTAAATTATAAACAAAAAAAAAAATTCTTTGATCTAATAAGGTTTTCAATATTCACTTTTGAGAAGTTCATTCTATACTTATATCACATGGCATGTTACAATTATGATCTACGATATGAAGATATATATTGATGGATACATATTGGAAGGTGCATAAAGAATATGATAAATTAATTAGAGAAATAAGAGAGCCAAATCAGTGAAATATGAAAGAAAATTATTAAGAAAAATTATGTATTCATTATAATTGTTGTTGATCTCAATCTATCAAGTAGTCATGAAATTTATGATCTAATCTTGATAATCATTTAATGAAAGTTTCCAGAATATATTATATTCCAGAAATTTTTTTCATCATTATTTCCAAGTATTTCGCTTTTTATTAAATTATGTAATATACGTTGTAGAATGATTTTGTTAAAAGATGATATTGTTTTTGAGTGAAATGTTTAGAGACTATTTAAAATTATGCATTTTTTAAAAACACTTACACCTTAGATTTCAGATGAAAATTTTCACCCAATATATATAATCTCAATGACGACCAATATCATTCTACACTCGAGGAAATTTATGAAAAACAGATTGTTATTTGAATATAACAGAGTTTTTGTGCAATATTTATTCAAAAAATTTTCCTTAATTTTTCAAGTTTTTTCTTAGTTGACTATATTTATCATGCAATGGCTTTATATCTCTAATCTCATTTTTGCGAGGAAAAAATGTGTGACACCAATGTTTTGTTATTCTCAATAAAACAAAGTATCATAGAACAAATTGGATTTACATTATTGGGGAAATGATTCGTTCAATTACTACTGTACGCCGCCATTTATCGAGAATCACAAAGAAGAGCCACTGATTTTTATTCATTTTTATGTAGATTCGTTTTTCACTGTTAAACTTACTCCATTGATACTAAAGTATCACTTATGATTACAGTTAATTATATTAATTATATTTGGAATTATATTGGAGACAATATTTAGAATCTAGATAATTGAGTAAACATGCAACTTCTCTTTCTACTTCTGGGATCCCTTACTATATTTCAGTAAAAAGAAATGAGAAAGAAGATTCTGATCTGAGATTAGAAATCTATATTATTATATTCGGATAAAGCAAAGCACGGTAGAGAATATGGAATGGTTCATAGTGAAAATTGGCACACAGGTAATAAAGATTGTGAGACGACAACAAAGAAATAGTTATCCAGGTTGTGTTATCCATTTGACTTAAAGAAAACATAGACTTCGCTAAAATAAAGTGATCTGACTTAATATTGATTGGATAAAAACTTAGATATCGCAAGTTTTTGTATAGTTTATTTATTATTGTATAAAGATAAATCATTTTTTTAATATCTAATTGTATCTAAGGAGTATTATTAACACATACACTTATTGATTTTCTATCCACCATTATTCTATTCGTGTGAATAATTATGCTTCTTTTTTTCACAAGTTATTTATAATATTATTTACAAAGATAATTTTGCAAATATTTTACATGTTATAAATATCTTTTAATAAACATAAAATATGGAATAAAATATAACTAAATATATATATATATGAATATACAAATATAAACATATATAAAGTTACAAAAGTAAAGTTGAATAAAAAAGATCCAACAAGTTTTGAATATATGATATATCATTTTATTTGTTTTCATATGAATATGAATATTATATTCGTTTTTAGCAGAAATATATTTTCTAAAAACTTGTTAAAAATAATATAAATCTTGTATGTAATAATTAACCAATTTCAATAATTTTTTGATATGTTATCAAGATTATGTGAGAGACACATTAATGAGAAAAAATATAGTATTCACATTTTGTAAAATTTTTTATAATTATAATTTAATAAATAATAAAATAAAATATTCATATTATTATATATTATATTTTAATAATATCAAATTTTAATTATCTTAATTTCGTTTTTATTTGATTTAATAATATTTTAATAATTAATAGAAATTTTAATAAATTTTTTTTCATAATTTTCATTTATACTACAAATTACAATCATATTCTAATTTTATTAAGTGACATATTTGATTTTCACAGTCTCGAATTTATCATATATTTTTCAAAATATAATAAAACAATTTAAAAAAAGTTATATAATGATTTTTAAGAAGTATTTAAAAGAGAAGTTTTAATCTTTAAATTTATACTAAATTCATTCATAAAAAAGAATTTTCTCATTCTCGTAGTGAATTTTGCATATTTGAATATGCAAAATTTTCGATAAAAAATCTTTTTTATGCTACTTCTTTTTGCATAAATATTATAGAAAAAATTATGAAAGGACTCTGAAAGTAGAGACTTCATGTTTTAAAATGTTGTACGATTTTTTTTTTCAGTTATAATAATTTAAATATTAATAATTTTTTTTAGTAAAGATTCAAATATTCGCTAATTTATGGATATATATGTATTTAACAAAAACAGTTAAGCCAAAAGACACATATGTCTTTGAAATATGATAATCGATAAAAAGATATGTTTTCTTTGTTATATATAGGATATTATAGGATGGACCACTTAACGTGATCACTTCGATTATTTTCATTATTTACGAGTGAAAACCACCTCTAATAACCATTGATTCTTCTAAATTATTTGAAAGATAATGATGAAAAAAAACTAAGATCCGCAACAGTTTTCCAAAATCAGCTAAAATTCAGCATGGATACAGTTCGTTTCAGAACATAGTTAGAAGTGAAATGCTTCCAATTTCAAATATTAATTTCAAACTTTTGATCTAAAATCGATTCGATTTTAATTTTCTTTTTTTTTTTATCCAAAATGACAAATAATTAAATATTACAAACTTTTGAGATTCCAACCCTAAGAAAATTCCTCTATTGATTCTATGTTAAATTTCGGATACACTTTATCTACACAGAAAGAAAAAAATGAAATTAACAATAGACTGCATTTATTTATTCTTAATAGGATTGCTTGTAATGTAAGAAGAATAACAATAATTCATTTCAAAAGTAAAAACAAATGGTTCATTTAATTTCTTTTATTTTTCGAATGAAATAAACAATGACTTCGAATCTCGATAGATTTTTTCGAAGTTAGAAGGAAATTTTATAGAATTTAGTGATAACATTAATGATATAAAAATAAGGATTTTTTAAATTATTAATCACTTCAATTAATTAATGGTAAGTAATTAATAAAAATTATTTATATTATAATATATAAATGAACGATTTTTTTTATAATTAAACTTATAAACAAATTTTCTAAAAAAAAAAAAAATAATTTATTGTTTTTACCAATATTACAAAATATTTTTTTATGACTTTATGTTTCAGGTATTTTTACGTAATTCTATAAAAAAAAGACAACAACAATTTTAATTGCAACAACAAACGAATCAAAAAAGAAGCAAACATATAATTTTGTATATACTATTTTGTAATATACTATTGTATAGTATTACATAATATTACAATAATTCATTGCGAAAGAAAGAATATTTTGTTATCATATTTTGTTGTTGATAAAAGTTGAAGAGGTACAGTATATTTTGTTTAACATATATTTATTAAATAATTATTTCAACAGATTTTAATACACTGTTATAGATACACCTATAGATATATCTGATATTTACCTTTAAGAAGACAAATGATCTAACGAAGAATTGAAGAAATCTAGATTATCGATAATGAAATCTGTGATTACGTTATTTAACATCGACCATATTCAATGTTATAATATATTTTATTTAACTATTTACATTCAATGTTAATAAAATTATAGATATATTACAAATAATGAACAATAAAAAATTGATGCTAAAAATATTACTCTTTTCAGAGCGATCCTCCAATATATATAATAGTATATATATTAAAAATAAACTATATAAAAATATTAAAATAAAAAAAAATTAAATAATGAACAAATGTATACATAATTATTTGTTCATTATTTAATTCAATATTTTTTTACAATTTAATTTAACATTAGTTTAATGTTAGTTTAGTGCTAAATTAGTATTATTTAATTATCAATTTAATCTTTATTTAATAATTAAATATGTAAAAAAATAATAATATACAATTTTAATAGTAATTTTTAATAATATTGTTGTGTTCGTAATAGAAAATAGATTATGAAATGATTTGATTAAAATAAAAAATATGCAGTAAAAAAGAATATATATTTAATAAAATAAATGAGAATAAACTACGTTCAACATAAATATGAATCGTTCCGATGCCTTCATTCTACTGAGCTCACTAGATCGCGTCATATGGCGCGGCGGTTGAAAGATAGGGGGAAAGCCAAAACAAAGTCGTATAGCGATCGCGCGACAGTGACTAATTCACTCGCAAATGTACATGTAACAAAATACGAGTCGCAATTTATACGTATAAAACAGTTCAATAAGATTTTCTATTTCTTTATTTACAGATTTTTTTACAATTGTCATTTTTTTCACTTACTTATCTACTTATTCACATTATATTTTTTTTATAATATATAATATAATATGTAAATAATGTATAAACAAACAAAATATAATTTAAAATATAAATATAATATATATTATTAATGCATACGAATTATTTATTCTAATTACAAAGTTATTTGTTTTTAAAATTATAATATGATTTTTATTATAATTATATTAGATATTTTCGAATTTAAAATTTATTTTAAATAATTATAAAATTAAATTATATATCCGAAAATAATCGTTTTATCAATATTTGAGTTATATATTGTGTGCAATTTTTATTATTTATTATAATATATAACTTATTAAATTAAATATTAAGTTTTCTTAATGCTAGAAGATTGTTTGTCTCAATATTCTAATCTAATATTCTAATATTTTTTTCGTTTAGTGTCGTTGTTTCTAAAAAAGCATTTAATATCTGTTTTATTGTCGATACTTCAATAATATTTAATTTAATCTTTCATATCGTATTTATTAAACAAACAAGAATATTTTTTTAATCCTATGATTAATAGATCTTTTATATAGTTTTTTATATATCTTATATTTAAAAAAAATAACATTTTATAATTGATAGAATTTCGTGCTTGTGGTTACATATTGTTTTAAGCAACGTTTTCGCAAAATTATTATCTTCAATTTTTTTTTAAACTTAAATTGCATTGCAACCATATTGCGTAAAAATCTTCCATTCGCAATGCATTTCTTCAGTGGTAATTTTTGTTGATTTGAGGATTACTATTAATTATATAATGCCATGCTAGTGATCCAATCATTTTCTGACAAAATCCAAAAGGTTTTTCAATTATCTTGTATCAGCCTTTCTAAAATATTGAAAGTGTAATTCTGTTTAATTTTGTTTAATATTATTTTATATAATTATAGTTTTTTTATGAGAATTTTAATAGAAGGAATTCAGAATATTTTTACTATTTTATATATATATTTATTATTTTTACTATATATACTATTTTTAAAATTCTAATTGCATTTTATAATTAATTACATATATATTCAAAATTATTTTCTTTTGCAAAAAAATAATTTTTCTTCAAAATAAGAATATGTTCTAAATAATTTTATTATGAAAATATTATAATAATAAAAATTATTATTAAAATCAATCATCCGTTGCAAATTCAAAGAAGAATTAATTTTCCATTCATATAATAAGCAAAATTAATTTTGGAATTCAAAAAACTTATAAATTATTCATTATATTCACATAAAGTTATTGCCTGTTATTGGAGACATTATTGAATCATTTTTTTTTTCGAAAATGAAAGAAGGAATGTAATAATTATAACTATAACTATAACTTATTACACAATGCTTGAATGCTTTTCTTCAATGTGAATTAAATCGATTGGAGGATATATAATCAACAGGATGAGGCTACATCATATACAGCATATAATATGATCGAAAAGTTGGAAACAATTTTTTTTGCGTGAATTATAAAAAATAATAACATTGATTCATTCTCCTGATTTAACAGATTTTTTTTTATGGGAAAAATCTATGCAAACAAGCCAATTTAACAGCAAAGGATAAAATTTATGGGAAATTAATAGAAGAAATAATAGAAAAAAATGTTATAAAGAATTGAAAAATCAGGTATTTTTTAGGAAATCTCATATTTTACAGATAATTGGAACTAAAGAAATCATTCATAAAAAATTATTTATAACAAAATGCTATCATTTGCTTCTCGTATATTTATATATTATAAATATACGAAATATATTTCTGACATTTATTCTATTAATAGTAAAATAAAAATTGCTTATTTGAGATTAAGATTAAGATTTTATGCATTAAGATATAATATCAAGGATAAAAATATGTTGGCATGTTCAGACATATATATTAGTGAAATAAGCTTAAAATATTGCGTAGGATTGTTTAATTAATCTTTCATCAATACTTGTTAGAAGAGAATACTATTGAATTTTTAAAAATCACAAATGACTTTGAATATTGCATGAAATAGTGGCTAAAAATTAAATTCGATAAATCACTTAAAACTGAGGACGTTTATTTATAAGAAGGCTTATTTTGAAATTATATATTGAAAACTGATGAATTTTTGATTTTTAAAAGTATTTAATGATTCTTCCAGTTAGTTATCTTTAACAAAAGTACAATTAATTAACAATAACGTGGAAAGAAAAAGAATCGATTTCCAAAGATAGATTCTTATTGAATCATGCGTATCTGATAAAAATATTTGAGCAATATTATGCGCAAATATAAAGTACTTATATTAAATCGGTAATTGTTATTGTTTCTGTGCGTTTTCGAAGATTTGTAAATTTATGCTTGTAAATATCAAAACTGGAACTCTAAAGTTTTGAATTGAAATTCGAATTATTGTGATTTTATAAATCAATTCTGGTCGCTATTTCTATCATACAGCAATTCTTTTAAATTATTTTTATACAATTTTTTATTCTTTCTTTTTTTTCTTTATTACATATTTGCGTTTGATGATAAATGCAACATTCAAAAAATCAAGTTTAACGTGTGAAGCGAAGATAAGCCAAAACATAAATATTTTTCATTGACATCTCTTTATGATATTGCAACAATGTAGATGAGCCAGCATTATACTTTATCTATTATTGTAAAAGCTTGTTATAAAAAGGTTATGATACAAATTTCTTAATCATTCATAATGATATTGAGACGAACAAAAAATGACACATATAATGATGCACATAAATTTTCATTAGCATGGATATTGCTTTTGATCATTTCAAGTAGAACTTTATAGTAAATAAATTTTATTATTATAAATCATAGCTTCACGAAAAAATTGGAGCTAACATTTTAATCCTTCGAATTGGATATAACCAGGAACTTTAAAATGTGTAAATTTCGTGTTGTAACATGAAATTTATCATGTTATTCAATGTAATATAAGAATTTTAAAATTGTTAAGATTATAATCATTAGCATTCAGAGGATGAAAACAGATTTGGTCAATATTATAGAAAAATTCTATCGTGCTTGGAATTTTGTTTCTTTTTCTTGGATATTTCATTAAAAATGTACGCAATTATATTAGATAGAATAATATTAAATTATAATACATTGCAATTTAGTTTCGGCGTGATTGAACGTGATCTTGGTACTTGAGATGATATTTTCCAGTTATGTCAATCAGCGTTATCCTACATTTGAGAAAATTTAAAAATAAAAATTTTAAAAATAAAATTTAATTCTAAAATTTTTCCTTAAATTGATGTGACATGATCAAAGAGCTGATATGCTCTATCAAGAATCTGCAATTCTTGGAGAAGATCTCAAAGTTTTATTTGTTCGAGAAAAAATTAGAATAATTTTAAACTTTGAACTATTAATGTGTTTGAACTCGAACTTTGTAACTTTGAACAAACAGAATTGTTAGAATCTTTTAAATTCATTTCGTGACAAGGATAAACTTCCATTGAAATATGAATTTTACTTTTAATTGTTTAAGATAGAATTTCAGTTGACAATATAATTTTATAATTTATCATGTATTATAGATTATCATATCCATTATTAAGAATCATAACGATATAAATTACAGTAGAAATTAGTTTGAGAAATTATAATTTTTATAAAAGTTCAAAAACTAATGTAATTTTTTTATTTCTGCAGAAAAATTATATCTTTAAAACAATCTTTATTAATAAAATGAATATTTAAATATTTGCATTCTCTTTTTATACATTTTTTTTTTATATCAAATTATTATATTAATTATTATATATTAAGGAAATTAGTCACATTTGTTATAAATACATAAATTATATAAACAACAAACGAGCAAAAAAATTATAATTTATAATTAATAATAATAATATCCTTCGTAGAAATGTTTGAAATAAAAATATTCGTCATATTATGAACATCGTATAAAAGTTGATTCCACAAATATTGCATCAATATCGGAATCATGCAATTCTGCATAATAATAATAAAAATTGATACCATTCATCTAAAAGATGTTTAGTCAGAAAATGTGAAATATAATTACTGATCAATTACTCATTCATCAAAATAGTCACATAAATCGAATTTTTTTGACATGGAAAATAAACATATCGAATGATTGGAATAAAACAGATGATGACTTCAAAATTTATATTGGCATAGATTTATCCTATAGGAAAAGTGTTATTATATAGGAAGAGTCTATTGACAGAATAAAAATTTCATTAAATTTATTTATTAATTTATTTATTTTTTGTCTCTTAATGAAAATAAGTTCAAAAATAAATTAAAATCATTTTACGTCATTTTGAAAAAATTAATTTATGTTTCATCT